TCCCAAGAAATATATGAATTTATTTTATTTTTATTTATTTGTTACTGGGGATTGAGCTCAGGTCTTGGCGCTTATGAGGCAGGAAGCGGAACCACTGAGCTAAATCCCCAGCCCAAGAAATATCTGATACTAAGGATTGTCCAGTTTTTAATATATATTCTTTACAGTTTAATCTCTTATATTGTCTCTAATCTTCTCCTATCTGTTGTTGGTATTGTTTTCCCTCCTTTTTTTTTTTTTTTTTTTTTTTTTTTAAGATTAGACTTCAGGGCTGGGGATTTAGCTCAGTGGTTCCGCCACCTGCCTTGCAAGCACAAGGACCTGAGTTCAATTCCTGGTCCAAAAAAAAAATTAGACTCTCCAGAAACACTTCTGTTTTATTGTGGCTATTTTTAGATTGTTTTGGTTTTGGTTTTGGTTTTTGAGACAGGGTCTCACTCTGTAGGCTGTCCTTGAACTCACTATGTAGCCCAGGCTGGCCTCCAACTCAGGGCAATCTTCCTGCCTCAAGCCTGCCAAGTGCTGAGATTACAGGCGTACTCCACCATGCCCAACGTTTTAATATTTATTAATGGCTCTAAATTATTTACTCTTTGGAAAGGATTTATTTTTAAAAGTCTTGACATATTTATTTTATTTTCATTTCCTTTTAGTAATAAGATTCTAACTTTCCCTCAGAATCCAGTTTTGGACATATTCATTTTATGTGCAGTACTGCCTTTTTTTAAAAGAGATTGTGATTAAATGTTTAACTTCTTGGGGGACCCCACATTATATATGTGGTCTTTCATTTCTAGGGATTAGACTTTTTAATTTACTACTTTTTAAATTTTTAACAGTATAGTCAAAGAATATCAGCTATTGGCTCCGCTTTGGGAATTTGTTGCCCTTCTCTTTGCTGCCTGATGTGCATGTGGGACTTTGAAGAAGATGATGGATTCCCACTTTGTTCTGCTTTCGACCTGCTTGGAGATGTGTCAGAAACCCCCACGCCCTCTGGAGATGTGGGGGAGCCCTGATCTAGGCGGGAGGTCAGGAAGCTGGTGGGGGGTGAGGCCTGGGTCCCCAGTTCATGGGAGGAGGCTGGCGGGGTGGGGTCGCAGCCCCGTAGCCTAAGGAAGGTGCCTGGGGTAGGGGCTGGGCAGGGGGAGGGGGAGGAGAGAAGGGGTGGAGTGGGGCCTGGGCACCCTCTGGAGGCCTCGCCCTGCCCAAGCTGGGAACCTGGGGTGCAGGTGGAGGTGCCCGGGAAGGGACAGCTGCCTCCCAGGCTGGGCTGTGGCCCTATGCCTTCTGTCAGGGCCTTCTTCCTAAAATGGTGTTTTAAATTTTTATCTGCCTTTCTGTTTGCCTACCAGCCTACCTATCTAGAGAAATGGTCTCGCTGTGTAGCCCAGGCTGGCTTTGAGTTGGCAGTGATGCTCCTGTCTCAGCCTCCTGAGGTCAGGGATTACAGGTGTGCAACACCATGCCCTGCTTCTGAACTGTTTTGTGCTGGAGCCTGGGGTCTAACTGGGTCTCAGCCACTGCTGCTTTTCTTCAACATCACAGAGTAAATATTGGCCCACACCCTAAATTTCCTCCAAATTACAGCTCTCTCAGGAGCTATGCAGGGGCCCCTCCTATGAATTCCTCTCTGGGGTCCCAGTGGTGGTCGTGTTTCATAACCTTAAGCAGTGAATGCCTGCTTTCTCTTTTGTCTGCACTTCTTTTTTCTTTCTTTCTTTTCTTTTTTTCTAATACTGGGCATTTAATCCAGGGCCCTTGCACTGAGCTACGTCCCGGCTGTTTTGTGCTTTTTGTTTTGAGCTGGGGTCTCATTAAGTCGCTAAACTGCCCGGGCTGGCTCAGGCTGCAATCCTCCTGCCTCAGTCTCCTGGGTGCTAGAATTACAGGTGCTCAGTGGGGTGCTGTTCTGTGTCAGGCCCTTCACTGGTTTACTGTGATCTGGCCCAGGAGGCTGTGGGACTCTGAGCCTTCATTTTACTGTAAGGAGACCAAGGTGCTGACAGGGGCAGAAGGCCCCTGATGATCTGGCTTCAGGGAACGGAGAGCCCAGCACAGTCCTGTCACCTCCTCCTTGCCTGGTCACCAGCAGCTGGGCAGGCGTCAGCTGTCACTCTGTGTGGTCAGCAGGATGGCGTGGGCAGCCCACATGGGGTATTTTTAGATGAGGGTGGCGGCCCCTAGAGGCTGACGTGCCAAGGAATCTCTGCGTGCCTGGGTGGGGACCTGGTGACTGACTGACAGGGCCACCTGCCTGTAGGGGTCCCCAGCCTAGGGATGGAACCTCCTCCAGGGATGTTCCCGCTCCCCTCCCTGTGCTGGGTCAGCTGTCCCAGCAGAGTCATCCAGGCCAGTACTATCCCCTGACTGACCACGGCTGGGGGCCGTTGTTCCTAGCACCAGGCCAGGGGCTCTCCAGTTCCCGTGCCCCTCATGCCAGCCGGCCTGTGCCCATTTCCTGTGGCTTCTACCGCTTCCGCTTGTGATCTGAAGCCAGAGCTGGCTCCCTGGGGAAGCTCACACACGCCAGCCCAGCAGGCAGGGGTGCAGCCACAAGCCCTGTGCTGTCTGCCAGGGGCCACCCCTTGGGGTCACGTCCACGTGGCACTGAGAGGCCTGTACACCAGGTAGGGGCCCAGCCCCCGGGAGGAACAGTGGCCTCGGCGAAGAGAGGCCACATGACAGGGCTGTGGTCAGGGCCCAGTGTGCTGGGGCCCCCAGTCTCCTCCCTATGATCTGTGGCCTTTGCTCCACTTACCCACTTTCTACGTTAAAAATAAGAAAAATACATCTTTGAACTATCTGCATCGTTTACTATTTCTAGAGCTCTTTGCTCTCTGGATCCAAAATTCTTCCTGGAAGCTGGGTGTGGGGCTCACACCTCACTCAGAGACTGAGGCAGGAGGATTCACCATGAGTTCCAGGCCAGCCTGGGCTACACAGCAAGACCCTGTCTCAAAAACAAGATACTCTTCCCAGAACCTTGTTCCGGCTGTTCTTCAACATCCCTCACAGCACAGATCCGCTGGCCACGAATCCTCTCCGTCTTCCATAAAGATCTTTCCTTCATCCTCTGGGCAGAGAGTGTTTCTGAAGGCCCGGCTGGCTGGGTCTTGGGTGAGATGTCACCATCACTCCCACAGCCACACGCTGTGTGCACCCCTTTTTCTCTGAGTGACATCTAGATGTTTTCTTTCTTGGGTTCTCCAGTGGTTTGGCTTCCTTATGCCTGCTGTTGCTGTTGCTGGGGCTTTGTTTCACTGTTTGGGGTTCTCTGAGCTTCTGGGGTTTGTAAAGGGCGAGTCTCAGCAAGCACCTCAGGGAGTGTCTTTGTGGGGAGCACTGCTGCTCTCCACTTCAGTGCACCCTGCACCCATTCACTTGCTACTTCTCTGTGGTGCTGGGGACAGAGCCCAGGCCCACACCACAGCCCCCCCTCCCCCACACACTTGTATTTGTTTCTTTGAGACCAGATCTCTCCATATAACCCAGGCTTGCTTGGAACTCAGAGATCCTCCTGCCTCAGCCTCCCCAGTGCCAGGATCACAGGCCTGCTCCCTCCCACCTGGCCGACTTCCTCTTTTAGAATTTACTTAGCAGAGGAGCTGCAGCCACTGCCATTCCAGTCACGTGCGCCTCACCCAGCAAGGTCTGGTGTGTTCCAGGACAGGGTGTGGCATCCCAGCCTCAGGAACCTGGTGCTCAGACTGGCCCACCACGACACAGGATGAGGGGTTGCTGCTCTGGTGCCCTCAGTGGCCAGAGTGGACCCTGCAAGGACCATGAGAAGCCCAGTGCAAGTCATCTGGCTGCCACCGTGGGGTGCCAGTCACCCTGCCAGCAGTGCCCGCTTCATGTCCTCAGAGGTGGAGGGGTCCTGGTGGCGCTGGAGGAGCGTGGGCTGTTCCTATGGAAGACCTTGTGGCCTTGGACCTGGCCAGGGGCATCAGACCCAGATGGGGCCACACCTGGGCCTGGCCAGGTGCAAGAAGGCGCAAGGGCACTGTAGTGACCATGGCCTGCATACCCCAGCCCCCTGTCCAGTTGCTGTCCTGAAAAGTAACAGCAGTACCAGAGGGTCTCAGGCCAGGCAACAATCAAGGTCATAGCAGGCTTGGGCGCATACCTGTGATCCCAGCATGGGGTTGGCTGAGACCGGAAAATCACTGTGAGTTAAAGGCTAGCCTGGATAACATATGGAGGCCGTGTCTCAAAATATATAACAAAGAAGAGCTGGGGATTTAGCTCAGTGGCATCACGCCTGCCTCACAAGTGCAGGGTCCAGAGTTCAATCCCCTGTACTAAAAAAACAAAATAAAACATAACAAAGAGAAAAAGAACCATGGACACCGGTGAAGGGCCACCAAGACCCCTGCAGCCATCTCCCTGCAAACAGCCCTGGCCTCCCCACCCCTCCAAGGTCCTCTGTGCAGAGTCTGCGGCTGCCCCATCCAGTAAGAGGTCCAGGGAGGCCGGTTTGGCACTGGCAGAGCCTGGTGTCCTGGGCCTCAGCATCCTCTACGCCACAGGGACATGCGGTTCCCAAGTCCTCACCTGGAAGGGGACATAGGACAGGACCAAGGGCAGGACCCACCCGGCACCTTCATTTGGCCTCACAGAGGGAGCCAATGGACCCCGTGGGAAAGGGCCCTGCAGGGACAGAGGCGGCATCCTGGCAGACCCCGGCAGGGGGGCCCAGACCCTCCCTGCAGCCTGCTGCCCTCACTTGGAGTAGCCACTCATCCCACAAGACCCCACCCACGGCCTGGTCCCAGCCCCGGATCCCTGGGGCAGCCTGGGAGGCCTGGTGGGGAGAGACCAGTGGGGCATCCACTGCCACCCAGACAGGGGCCTGGGCAGTCGAGGGACAGCACGGCTCCATTCTTGGGTCTTCCTGGGCTCCTGAGCTACCGTGCCCATGAGCGTCTGTGCAGGATACGGGCGTCAGGCCATAGCTGTCCCCACTCCACCTCCCTGATGCCTTCTCTCACCCACAGGAGCTACAGGGACCTCACTGACTGCACCCGGGACGTGGCAGAGAGGCTGGGCTGCTTCTGGCCCAACGTGGAGGTGGACAAGTTCTTCGTGGCCGTCCACCAGCGTTACTTCCACAGCTGCCCCATCTCTGGCAGGGCCGTGGGGGACCCTCCCAGCACCATCCTCTGCCCCTTCGTCGTGGTCCCCATCACGGTGACCCTGCTGGTGACGGCACTGGTGGTCTGGAGGAGCAAGCGCACAGAGGGCATTGTGTAAGTGGCCCAGGCCACCTGCTGGGGGCGATGAGAGGCCCCAGAACTTGAGAGTGGCCCTGCCTGACTGCCTTGGCCGGAGCTGGGGGCTGCCCCGGCTCACCTCCCTGTCCCCACGTGCTGGTGACCACCATGACGCCCTGAGCATCAGCTCAGGCTGCACACCCTGTAGCTGTGTTTTGTGGATGAGTAGTTGTGATTAAAACCACGCTCACGAATTGGAGTCATGTCCTTTTTGTTCTGGGCAGAAATTGTCAGCGGGAGGGCAGGGGTGCAGGTCACAGCTGCTCGCCCTGCAGCTGGGCTGGGAGGAGAACTCCCTGCAGAGTCCCTCTGGTCTCCCCAAGAGCCTCTGATGGGACCTTGGAGGGTGCCCTGTGCACGGAAGGTGCACTGGGGTCACCACCACCCACCCACCACCACCCAGCCCTGCTTCAGAACCGGAAACAGGCGTGGTAAGGCAGTGGAACCGCCCAGGGCAGCCCTGGGGAAGGTTCTGTCCTTGTCCCCATTCCACAGAAGAGAGAATGAGAGTGGAAGTCACTGCTAAGTTAGCAAAGGAATCCTCCCCTCCAGTGAAATTCCCTGGGAAAACCCAACATGCAAGACAGATGCCAGCCAGAAAGGGCTGGGACAGCTGGAATTTGAAAAAAGACCTGACTCGCTCTTTGGGTCCCGGCTAGGGACACGGCCTCTTCTCCAGAGCTCCTGTCATGGGAAGCTGTTAGCGGGGAAGCAGTTGGAAGTCACAGAATCCAAAAATGGCAAAAGCAAACCAGGGCGTGCGCCCTGGGAAATGGCGTTGGCCAAGAACGCTGTTTTTCCCAAAACAGCCTGGGTTGATGAGCTCGGGGCAGGACTCCCGACACAGGGTGTCCAGGGAGCCGTGAAGCCAGCTGGGTGAGGTCGTCTTCAGTCCCCTCCTCATCCTTGCCAGGTGTCCCGCAGGGTGTGTCCCCAGCGCAGGGCAGGAGGGGGCAGAGCGGGGCACAGAGGAGCTGGGAGCTCAAAGCCCCGACACCCTGGCCCTGTATCTGCCTCGCGTGCGTAGAGCAGGCAACTGTGGCCTTTGCTGGGGATGAGGCCAAGGGCCTCCACGTGCTGCGGGAGGACTCGGTGCTTTTGCTCACGGGGACCAGTGGCGCAGCCTGGCTGGGAACAGTGCTTCCCGACAGTGTGGACACAGACACGTCTGAGGCAGACAGTATGCGAAGGCTGGCTGTCATCAGTTTTCCGAGGGAGGCCTCACACTGGACCGTCTGAGAGGCCCCCGGGTTTTGTGTGTGGCTGTCCAGGTGGAAAGTTACAGTTCTACCAGGACCTGGCCACCAGGGATGAGGGGACCATGACCCTGGATCCCCTCCATCCCAAAGGTGCACTCTTGCAGACCGGGCCGTTGACAGGGTGGGCAGTGAGACACCCCAGGCCCTGCTGAGATCTGGATCCAATTAACCAGAGGATGCTAGAAGACGCTCCTGACACAGGGATGTCACTGGGGGACACGGATCCCCAGAGAGGGTGGATTTCGAAACAGGAAAGCAAGGTAACCTCTGTCTCAGTGTGGGTGGAAACACGGCCCCAGGTCGGTCACACAGCTTGCTGGTCTGAACCGGAAGAGGCTGGCGCAGGTCCAGGAGGCCCCGGCCGGACCCCACCCACTCCTGGCCCTGCTGCTAGGCGAGCAGCTGTGACCTGCACGTGGGGAGGTGACAGCCTGAGTCACCACCCCATCCCAGGGCCAGGGTTTAGGCTTCAGGCTTCTGCAAGAGACACCCCAGAGGAGAAGATGGGGAGGAGAGGCCAGTACCCCTGGGGAAGAGGCTCTACAACCACCTCTCTGTGTGCCAAGCACAGCCGTTCCTTGGATGCTCTTACGGTGTACTGGGGGAAGACCTACAGCACGGCACCATTCAAGGGCGTGAGACTGGACATGGCACACAGCTGTAACCCCAGTACTGAGGAGGCTGAGGAAGGATGGTCGCTGGGAGTTTAAGGCCAGCCTGAACTACACAATGAGACCCTGCCTAAAAACGCAATATAGAAAAAAAAGAGAAAGGATGCCAGGGAACTGTACACTGTGCAGCTTGCAAGTGTCCCTTCTCACTAAGGGGCTGGGGATCTCCTTCCCAGCTGCTCCCTGACAAGTGCCTGGCAGTCAGCCTCAGGGCAGCTCTCACGGTGGTACCTGCAGCCCCGCACCGGCCTGCTCAGGCCCTCATCTGGCCCCCTCTCCTCAGAAACACTCCCACACATCATGGCAGCTCACAGGGTGATCCCAGAAGTCTCAGAGGCTGAGGCAGAAGGACAGCAAGTCTGAGGCCAGCCTGGGGAGCTTGGGAATTTAGTGAGACCCTGCCTGGAAACAAGAAATAGAAAGGGCTGGGTATATGGATACGCACAAGACCCTGGGTTCAGTCCCCGGTATAAAAAAAAAAAAATGTTCAAGGGTGGAACGAGGCTAGCAGAAACAGTGGGGAGGGGGGCAGCAGTCCGGGACCAGGCAGGAGAGAGCAAGGAGGGACAGGAGGGCGCTATCCACAGCTGCAGGCCTCTGGCCTCTGACCCCTGGAGCTCTGGCCTATTCTGCAGATAGGGATGCTGGGGCGCAGAGAGCTGGCAGCCCTGCCTGTTGCTTCTTTCTTTCTGCTGGGCCAGGGTGAGGTCACACGGACAGAGGGCACTGAGCGGCGGAGGAGCCTGCGACGACGGTAACTGCAGCATCCAGCACATGGCGCTCACCAAAGTCAGTAGTGGTCACTGATCAGTGTCCCATCCCGATGCCTGTGATTTCTTGCCACCTAAAATGCCACTTCACCCTTCTTCTGGAATGGAGAGATCCTGTACATCGATGAAGACACAGGGCCACAAAACAACAAGCCCTAAGTCCTCCCGCCAGGTCATTTCTAACGTTCACACTGGGACGCGGCCTGCGCACTGTGTAACAGGCTCGTCAGTGTCAAGTGGAGGGGAACAGGCTCGGCTCCCACCAGTTGGAAGGGCACGGAGAAAATGGTGCCTCCCACCTGCTTCATGTCGGATTTGCTGAGACCATGCTCCCCAAACTCAAGGAATGGATTCCAAGGAACAGCGGAGGTCAGGGGTGGGGAATATTTATCGATAGGACAGCTCCTGAGGGACAGGAGGGGACCCCACTTCACAGGGGGAAGCTTATAGAGTGACAAAACTGCAGTCAACCATGAAGGGTACAAGTATGGCCGCTTGGGTGATGGTGACCTGGTGGGGATGAGGTCACTTGGCCAGCGGGCATGGAAAGAACGAAGACCCTCCCAGGAAGGGCTGTCACCACCAAGGTGACGAACGCCCACTCACCTCCTCCCTTGGGGAGTGTGCAGCCTTCATCTGTGTCCAGAGCCCTGGCTCACGGCGGTCCTGTGTGCCCAGCCTCTGCCCTGACTCTTGAGGGCCCAGCCCTGTCTGACCGCCCAAGATATTTCCACCTTTCTTAGCTGTCTATAATAATGTTTTGCAAATAACTTTTTTAATTTAAAAAATACCTTTTGGCTGGGAGTGCCAGCAATAAGAGGGGCTGAGGCAGGAAGATCTCAGGGTTAAGGCTGGCCGGAGTGACTGAAGGAGCTTTTGTCTCACAGAGGAAAGGACCAGGGATGTGGCCCGATGGTGAGCACTTACTCAGTAAGGCAGCTGGGTTCGGTTTCTGGCACCACAAGCAAACCAGAAGAAGAAAGGAGATAGATAGATAGATAGATAGAGAGAGAGAGAGAGAGAGAGAGAGAGAGAGAGAGGGAGAGAGAGAGAGAGGAAAGCAAACCAGAAGAAGAAAGGAGATAGATAGATAGATAGATAGAGAGAGAGAGAGAGAGAGAGAGAGAGAGAGAGAGAGAGAGAGAGAGAGAGGGAGAGAGAGAGAGAGGAAGGATGAACCCTAAAAACTAGATGTTCAGAAATGACATTTTATTTAAACTCCTAAGGGCACGGTTTGGACCGGTTTATTGCTATTTATAAATTTTGCTCTAAGTGTACTTCTTTACTCTCCCTCTTAATACAAACACTCAGAAGTGGAGCTTTGGGTCAAGGGGACCCTTGAGCTGTGTGTAAACAGTGCCTCACACATCACACAGCGTCAGAGGCAATTCCCGCCCACTCACACTTATGCCAAGATTGGTATCACGTCCTCTCTAGAAAACAACAACCAAAAAGCCTCTAATCACTGGCTAAGGAAACATCCTGCCAACGGCGGGCCCAGCCCTCTGTGACAGGCGTGACAGGAAGTCCTCGGGGAGGTGCAACAGGAGGTATTCAGCTAGTCGGGCTCAGAGCGCAGGTGGAAGATGGGGTTAGCACAAAACGCCTGCGTGCTTTGGTGCCTGCACACAGCAGAGCTGAGTCTGGCTTTATGGAAGTCTGGTGAGTTCAAGCCGCTGTAAAGTGAACCTTAAACCCCCAGTTTATGCCGTGTCACTTGGTGCTGAGAAGTAAAATGGAAAGGCTTAATAAACACCTGCTGGGATGCCCACCTCACGGTCACCAGAGAAACGCGACCTTTTGTTTTGAGGCATGCTCTTGCTCTAATTCAGGCTGGCCTCAAACTCACTACGTAGCCCAGGCTGGTCTTGAACTTGTGTGGTCCTCCTGCCTCAGCCTCCCTGGTGCTGGGATTATAGGTATACACCGCCACACCTGGCTGGAAGTCCAACTTTAAATAAGCAGATATCAGTTATATATGACGTTAACAAATTATCGAGTAATAAAACCCAGACAATAATCATGCAGATGCAAAGAACTATAGCCTTTGGAAAGGCCAAATGATCAGAGCTGATTAAAACTTTTTCCTACTTTGTCTTTGGAGGCACAGTCTCGCTCTGTAGCCAGGCTGGCCCTGAACTCCCGCCTCGATCCCCCTGCCTCAGTGCTGGTACTGCAGGCATGCGTACCATGCCTAGTTTATAATCCAAAAACTTTCAAAGCCACGTTTCTCTTCACCCAGTGGTGCCCCTGCTAGGAGTCTTTGCTGTAGAAATTACCAGGAAAAAGTTCAGTGCTGCCCCCGCCTGCAGGGGTGGAAAAGCAGGAAAAACCTGGAGCAGACCCAGTGCCCCAGATGAGGTGGGAGGAGCAGAGAGGAGGGCCTCATTCTGGGTCCTGGAAAGAGTGTGTCCTTGGGAAAGGGAAACACAGAGGAGCCCAGGACAAGACTCAAAGACTTCACCAGCCCCCGGTGGGGGGCTTTGCC